GGCTATCCCCAGAGCCCTCACTGCCAGCTCCATGTCCCTGGTAGAATCCTGAATACATATTTACTGAGAAATATATGAAACTTTTGTCACCAAAGTCACCTGCACAGGCTTCAAGCTCTTTCAAGTCAATTTTACTGATGTTGCAAAAACAAACAAACAAACAAAAACTCTTCAAATCCAATACAACACTTGAAAGAAGGCCAGAAAGCTACAATTTAAGGATGTTGAGTTCGTTACTAGAATCATTTGTATTTCCCAGAGATCAAAATTCTTCCAATCAAGTCATCAACAAGGTGCAAAGCGAGGCCTTCTAGGCCATAGGTGGGGGTGTGGGGCATGGGGTTGTCCTCCAGCTGGAAGACACAGGCACAAGGAGAGATTGCAGCACTCGACTGAAGGACATCTACACAGGAGCAAGATCCCTAAAACAAGAGGGCAGGCCCCCAACACCTGAGCAGGGCCTCACTTTCCTACCAAAAAGGGCAGGTAAGACACTTTGGATGACAATTGGCCTCTAGCTGCCTCTTACCAGATCCTGCCCGAAAATCTGTCCTTTCTGAGTCAGAGCCCCAATGGCCAGGCAACAGCACAGTTGATGCCAGTGAAGACAGGAAGAGCTGACAAGGTGCCCAGCCCCAGGGGCACCAGCCAAGACCACAACAGGGTTGGAGGAGGAAGCCTGCACGGACCAAGGGAAGAGGTAACTCAGGCACAGTACACACATGCTAGGGGCCAGAAAGGAAGGTCTCCTTCCCTGCCCCCCCCAAGCCACTCCCAACAAGGACTGTAAAGGGACCACCCCCCACCCCACCCCCACACACACATCCCAGCCCATCCCAGTGGGGGAGGTGTCCCTGTAGAACACTGGGAGGTACAATGGTGCTTGGTGCTCTGTGAAATGAACTCACCCTAGAAACAAGCATGGGCCCTAGAAAGTGGCTGCTTCAATCAAGTTCTCTGCTGAGACTGCTTGCCAAGAGCAAAGATGCCATCACTGTGAGTCTAGGTGACTTGGGGACCCTCTCTCCAATTCTCCCCTAAACGGGGCTGCTGGAGAAATGTAAGGTGACTCCTTTAAGACAAACTGAGACTTTTTACTTCAACAGTTACTATGTTTATTTTTACAGTTACTGTGTATGGCAAGTTACACTAATGTTCTATTTCAGGGAATGATACGAAGTTTCCTTTTAAAAGAAATATTCGCTAGACTAAAGAGACAGGAGACTTAAATGCAACATGGTATCCTGGAACAGGAAAAGGACACAGAGAGAGGACCTTGTAAAACCAATCTGAGTAAAGTCATCAAGTCTGTAGTTAAGTCTCTCTGAGGTTTTGATGCTAGCTAGCACTGTGGTTTATCAGATGCTAGCTGTAGAAGTGGAGATGAGGAGCACATGTAGGGAAACTGTACTATTTCTAAAACTCTTCTCTGTAAGTCTAAAGTTCCCTCAAAGTAAAAGTCTTCAAACGTTTAAAAAGTGAGCTAAAACATGAACTACGAAGTAAAGATAGCACTAGTGTTACCAGGTCTGGAAAGAGTCATGGGGGTCACCCAAGAACACTGGGGATTGAGAAACACACAGGGCTGGTCCCTCACATTCATTCTATCAGCGACCTCTGGGCTGCTGAAGGGGAACCAGGGATCTGCCCAGGGCTGTGGAAACAACACAGGGCTGAGCCTTGCCTCACCCACCCGATTCCACTTTCTCTGCATGCAAACCCTGTTCAGAGCCACCCAGGGTCCATACCCAACAGGAGGCTTTTGCTGCTCAGGGTTCACTGGAGCAAGTGACCCTTAAATAAAGGTGTGAGAAAATATCTCCCATGGCTGATCCCAAACAGGTGGAAATGAATCTGTGCTAATCAGCTGCCTGTCTTGGATCAAATCAAAGACTTCAGATAAGCAATAAAGAGATAAGGCCTCCCGAAAATTTCTCTTTCAAGTATCAGGACTGGTCACACCTCTCTGCCTCTGCCTGGGCCAAAGCAGCAAAGATACCAACTTATCAGGCTAACTTTCAGCCCTGCTCCCCAGCCACCTTTCATTCCTGGGTTTTCCCCTGGCCGAGTTCAGCTCAGAACTAGACTTCCCATCCCAGAGGGTCCACTGGGCCACACGACAAAGGTCCTCCCAGGCTCACTCGCCTGTCTGAGATTGGGCACTGAGTCTGGGCAGGACCTGGGGGCTGACAGGTACCCATGGCCTCTGCAGGCCCTGGGTGGGTTGGGGAGGGGGCCCCATCACTTTCAGAGCCATTCAGGGTCAGCTTCCCAGCATCTTTAGATCTGAGGAGCCCTACAAGCACTCACCCCCAGTGGTATGGCCATGAAACCCTCTGAGATGGATTCCAGTTGACAGAGGTGTTTGTAGTGACCCTTTTCTGGGCAGAGCGCAGGGGTCCCACCTAGTGTCCTCTGCTCTCTTCTCCACAACCCCCAGCATGCCAGCAGGGCAGCCCAGGAGCCTGAAGAGAAGTCAGGAGTCCACACACCCCAACACCCTTCTGACAACCACCCCTGTTACAAGCAGGAAGGTGTGACAGATGCCCAGGGCTGACAGATGTTAACAGGCCCCATCCCACCCTGGCCACCCAACTCCCCACCTGTAAACCAGGCAGACAGGACAAGAGCCCACCGCTCACTTTTAAGGGCCACTGGCCAATTCTAAAGACCCAAGGTGAGAGCCTACGGCAGGGTCACCTCGCAGGGTCTCCTTGGTGGAAGGAGGATCAGGGACCACCCACCACCACACCCCCTCCCCTCCCTCCAGCCTGCTCCCACAGCTAAAGACTGGAGCCCCAGTGGGTGGGCAGCCTCGGCCAGCCCCCTGGTCAGACCTCCCAAGGCCCAAACACATCCCACAGGCAAAGTCAGAAGTGAGAACCTGTTGGAGCAGTTTAGGCCAGAGGATCACCTCTTCCTCCTCCTCCTTTCACTCCTGGGTGGGAAGAGACCTCAGCTCTTGAAAACTAGGCACACAGCCAGGTCATGGCTACGGGCAAGGGCCAAGAGGCGGGTTTCAGTACCTCCGGGCTTTCCTCCTACCCCCTCCCCATCTTCCTTAGAGAGAGCATAAGGTCAGGTCAAAACTGGGGTGTCCCTGCCTGGAACACAGAGGGAAATGGGGAACCGTGAAGGCCAGCGAGGAGGCGGCAGAGCCACAACCCCCACCGCCGGCACAGATACCGTTCTGTCACTGCACTCGCGCCCAGGCCCACCGGCAGGCCAGGGCCAGCTCCGAGCAGGGGCCGGGAGGGATCCCGCCCGCCACAGCCGTCCGGGGCGAGCTCCGGCCGGGCCGCCCAGCCCGCCAGCGCGGGAGCCACCGCTCGCGCCTCTCCGGGGACTGCGCCGGGCTGCGCGCCCGCCTCTCTCGGCCCAGCCGCCGAGCCCGCCCGCGTGGGGAAAGTTCCTCAACTTCGCCGGGGGCGGCGGCGGGGGCGCGGGGCCTGGGCCTCCCTCCCGG